CAATAGCAAATATCGAATATCGACAAATAAGAAGAAAGCAAAGGAGAAGCAAAGTTTTATATCTAATGCATGAAATGTCATACGCGGGATAATAAAAAATGAATAAAGATAGGTAAACCGTAAAAAAAAAAAAAAAAACATTTAGGAGATGCAATCAATCCTCAATATCGTCTGCCATAAGTCAAGTATTGATTGATGGTTATAAGGCAAAGCGAGACATTTGAACTTTTCCAAACGTCATTCAACTCACGCAACTGAACTAAGCAATAACGTATAGAAACACCTGTGAAATTTAATTGAAAACATATTTAAAAGTTCATTAATAGAACGTTCGTTCTAGGCATTGAACAAATGCTATGTGCTATGTGCTATGCTACTTGCCATGTTCAGTAGACACTGCTTAAATAAGTGCAAATACTCTAAACAGAGACAAATAGCGAAAGTTTTAAACAAATTGAAACCGATAGTCAAAATGGTAACTGACTTCTTCTATATGTGATAAGCGAAAGCTTTCCAAGTGATAACAATTTGCCAAGAGATGAATGTTTCCCCGATAATTCTGAGGCCAATTTCTCATGGATATTATGAATATATTTTTTTTTTTTTTTTTTTTTTTTGCTCAGTTATACTTACTATCATTATTTTAAGAAGGCATTCACTGAGTAATCTATCGTCATCTAAGAAATCTCTATACCTATTATCGAACGATGAGAGGGCATGTAATCGTTTTGTGAAAGCATGTTTAACACTTGGAAAAAAGCTTAAGATAACCGCAAATGGAAGCTATCGGGTTCAAATTTGACTAAAACATTGGAAGTTCTCGCACACTGGTTGGTATTGACAAAGGCCAAAGTCGGTCGAAGGACACGCCTACAGTACTGAGAACATCTCTATTTTTTGCATAATGAAAATTGATCAAATATGTCAAGGACGACGCATTTACCGATAACATGTACAGTGAGAAAATCCATGCTTTCCGTAAAAAAAAAAAAACGATTTTTAGCTCATTATTTTTACCGACTACAGCGGATAAATGTGCAAAAATTTTGTAGTATAATGTATGAACCATACCACAGTACATGTATAAAAATGAAAGAGAAATCAGCCACGCCCACCCAATATTAAAGTGTAACAACAAATTTTCATCAATTTTTTCTCAACACTTTTATAGTACCCGCAGGAGAGCTTCAGAATCTCCTTAAAGTATATGCCAATATTTTTGATTAGCATCCGTCTGTCCATTTGTCCGTCTGTGATATATCTGTAGTAAATATTTTTACATTGACCATAATGGGAGGTATCGTCTAGAAATTTGCAAAATAATCTAAACCAAAACTTGAAAACATGTTCGGTTTTCGTGTTTTTAACTCATTGCTCATAGCTAGAACAGATACACACACGACAGAAACTTTGACATTTATTCTACAAAAATGGAAAGTATCAACCGTGCCCATCCAATTTTATTGAGTAATGAAAACTAAGAGTAAGATATTCCTTCCCCCCGCCCCTCCTCCCCATCAACTTTTTAGCAATTTATTTTAGGATAACGGTGACGGGTATAAAGGATTCGGTCATAGCCGAATGTAATTTCCTCACCTGTTCAATAGGAATCCATTTCATTTCTTTTATTTCCGAAACCGCCAAAGAGTAAAAGTTGATCGTTTCGAAAGGTTTCTTGACAATTGTATTCACTTTCAAATAAGTTTACGATCTAATTGAGCATCAATAAAGTTAACGGATTTTAATCGTCTCTGACCAACAATTCGTCAAGAGCAGACGCAAGCCCTCAATATAAACATTGGTTATAAAAAATTAACTTTATTTTCGCTATGAATGCAAGCATAAATGCACTAAGGAATAGCTAACGTAGGAGGACTGCGGGACATTTTTAAAAGAAAAATATTATGCAGAATCTCTTTTGCTTGATGAAGAAGAATGCGGTAACATCTTTGAGATAAAAAATGTTGCCGGAAGGTGACGAGAAGTGAAGAATCATTATTCACTTAAACGTAAACGTTTCAATTCCCGTCTGCAAATGCCCAATCATTCTAACGAGAATATCAATTGAAGAACCAAAATACGGTAGAAATTTCTTGCGTCTTGCGTTTGCATTTATGTGCAAGTATTCATTCACTCAATGGATGGATGTCAAGATGGAGATTGAAGAATATTGTAGAGCGCATGCGCCTTATACCATACCTTAATACTAGTAGCGAGAAGATATCTCTTATTTGAAATTTTTATACAGAAAATATGAAATTTTTACAATATTAAATCCTATAAAAAAATAATTGCAATCGAAACATACACACATATGCATGTATAAAACATTATCTTACTTGAAAAGATCTATCGGTGAAAGATGTTTATAACAATTTGGGCTTAGAGTAAATTATGTCTACTAAAGCCACCGGTATGTACAATATAATGTGGGTTTTCCGTGGCCTTCACAACTGATATAGCAAGTTTCCTTTTCTTTTTTTTTTTTTGTTTTTTTTTTGTTTTTGTCCATTAGTGCTCTCTTAGGAAAAGGATGAAAGCTACGCATAATATGCAAAAATTCTTAAAATTCAAACATGAAATATGTAAAAATGATAGCAAATGCACTTCGAAACACTTCAATACAGTTCAATATTGTAATCTTCTTATTCGGTATCGTGTTCCTACTTGCAAATCTTGCGATAAATACTTTCTGAAAGAAAGTGTGGCGTATAAATATCTATCAAGCGTCGATTAGAGATATATTCATGGCTTCAATTGAAGTGCTGTCTACCCATTAGCTGAACTTGAAAACTTCAAGATAATTGTTAATAAAAGCAAACGAATGTAACGTTAAATCGAAGCCTCGAAAAAAAAAAAAAAAAATCACACCTAGAATAACCAAATCAACACTTTTAAAAAGAAGCCAGCCTTTGCACAGGAAAATAATCGAAAATTTTTAAAACTTAACTAACTATATCTAAGATAGCCATTGACAAACCTTATCGCATTATCGTCTATATAAATAAATATATATACATATATATATATATCACTTAGTTATAAACTTTGCAGACTTCACATGCAGGTGAATAGATATTAAAAATTAGTTTCAAGGTATGTGTAACATAAAAACGGGATAACCATTTTAAAATTTAATTTTAAAATTTCTAGTATGACTGGAAAGAAATGATATTGAAATGATAAATTTTGAAAAATAAATGATTTTTTTTTTCATATTACTTACCGTTTGTTGTTTTTAATTTTTTTATGTAAGGAAGAAAACCGCAAAAGAATTCCAATAAAAGTTTTCAATTTTCTATTAAGCTACACTTCAGCTTTAACGGCAGACGATTTCCCACTTAACCGGAGTTTAAATCTTATGCAGAAACCGAACAACCATCAACCACCGCAATATCTTCGTTATATTACATGTACATGTATGTGTATGCATCCATGTGCATGTAAAGTGTGTGCGCGCGTGTGTATGTATGTGTGTGTGTGTGCATGTGTGTACATGTGTGTGTGTGAGCATCAGTGTTATATGTACAACAAAAAAACTTTCTATGCACAGGATAACACTTTTTCGCAGAGACAATAAAAAAACAAACAAAAAAAATAATAAAAAAAAAACAAGTACCAATTAAAAAAATTTTTTTTTTTTTTGTTGTTCTTGTTGTTGTTGGTTTGCAGAACGTTACGGACAACAGCAAAAGAAAAATTTCTTTCCTAAGGAGTGGCGCGGCGTCGCTGATACCTCTTTTCTTTCCACCAATTTAATTTTCTTCATTAAATGTAAATTAAAATTAATTAAACATTCCTTTTTAGTATTACGAAGAAAGAAAACAAGTTAATTTAATATTTTTGGTCCACAGCAATCAGCGAAATTGTATACATTTTTTTGAAGACTGTGCAGAAATCTAGCTTAACTTTATTTGATGTTTTTTCAACCATTATTTATTTTTTTTTTGTTTTCTGCATATAATTACTTGGTGTTATTTAAATATTAAAGAATTATGTTAAATTTTTGTTTTAATTATAAAACATGCTAAACATATACAATTGTATATATGTAGATATTAATAAATATATACATATACATGTATATATATTTTCTATTAATTTTTCACCAAGGTATACAAACAATTATGAACCGTTCTTTTATAGCAAATATCTCCGCTCAAAACGCTTAATACACCTTTCTTCCGCTCTTGTTTATTAAAAACTAAAAAAACTAACACTACCATCAAAAATTCCTGACTTGTTCGTTGCATAAAATCAATTCTCAGAGTAAATATAAATCAATAGACAATGCTTTCTCTCAAAACAAAACTTTACAATAACAATCCAGTCAGCAAGCGTTGAATAAATGATGCCAAGTCCTGAAATCTCCTCTCAGGGTAAAAGAGTAAACAATATTTTACAATAACAATCCAAGCAGCAATCTTTGAATAAATGATGCCGAGTAAAGAACTCCCTCTTAGAGTAAAGAAGATTTTACAATAACAATACCGGCAATGGTTTAATAAATGGTGCCTTCTTTTATACTGGTATTGAAATTTTTAAAATATTAATATTATATGAAACCTGAAAAGAACAATAACGAAGCACTGCCAACGTTGAGTTTTAAAGAAAAGTGCTCCCACTTTTTTACAGTTGTGTATAATGTTTATTACTACTACAGTTACTCTTTGTGTTTTAGTTTCGCAATATTACACCAGCTATATATGCTTTGTGTTCGCTTATATAGTGGCGCATTATTTGGTAATGTTTTTGTCGCACTTTACCTTACGATATACAAAAAATTTGTATTAAAATTTGGTGTAATGGTTTTGTGTTTTTTTGAAATCTCTATAACGCTATTTTAATGCACTTTCGTTCTCATTTATGCAAAGAGCATATATGTTTATCAAAAGATCGTGCATGGTAAATAAAAGGTCGCAGAATCCTTTTTTAATTTTCAGACCAGTGTTACCTTCCTTAGAAATTAATTATTAAGTAATTGAACATATAAATAAAGTTATCATTTTATTGTGATTGTTTCTTATTATAAATAAGCAGCATTTATTGTTTGTCTTTGCTTCCTCAAGAATCTAGTGAAATGTTTCAAGGATTGATTTTAAAATTATACTTAATTTTGCAAACGTATGCTTTTGCAACAAAGCTGGACAAGGAGCCATCGTGTCCCAGACTTTTGGTAGAGCTTGGTGATTTTCAAAAAAATCTTGTAACATGTGTGACGCATAACTCGGTGCCCGTAAAAATCTGCTCTAATTGCGAGGATACGTACCACAATATGACTGCACAATACAAAAAATTATCACAATGCTCAGAATATTTTGATCAGGATCGTCTTAATCTAATACCTACTACTCAAAATTTGCTAAGCAGTATTTGGTCTAAAGCCTATTGTAACGGTAAATATTTTGCAAAAACAGTGTTTAGTGAATAACCTCAAAATTTTATTTTTTATTTGTTTATTATTATTATTATTATTTCATCTAAAAGAATGCTATGAGGATAACGCAATTAAAAAATACGAAGAAAAAAATACAGAATTTTCAAGATGTATAAATGATACCACTAATGAAATTTGTGCGACTTGCCTACATTTGTACAGAGATTTAAACTCTTACTTTACATCATTAAATCAGCATTATAACGGTAAAGTTTGCTTCGAAATGCAAGATCAGGTGATTTTTTTTCTTTCTTAAGCAATTTCAGTGATTCTTTAAATCACAAAGATAAAATAAAATACTTTTTTTATTTTAATACCAGATGAATCGCACGCGGAATCATTGGTCCAAAGAATTGAAATGCTGCCAGCGAAAACCCAAATTAACTTACTTCACAATAGCTTTGGCCTTTGTTACTAGCTTGCCTATGATATTTTATACCAGTTCCTATATTATCACAATACGACGAGAAAATAATCACGGAACCTTGCACGACGAAGGTAAGGCTATGAATCTATCAATAAAAAAAAGAATATGTTGATTTACTAAGTGGACCGTTGTTAATAGTAAGATTATAGTTAAACCTATTAACACATTTTCAAAACATTAATAGGGCAGGAAGCAGTAGTCAATTTTGTAATCAATCTATAAAATGGATATATGGGTTACAAGCGTTTACCATTTTTAATGAAAATGCATGTAAATTGATGCCGTATAAAGGATTAAAATCGTTCCACTTTTATCCGGTTAGGATTCAATTGAGCGCCGCTGTGCTGGCAACTTGTTTATTTTCTAATCAGAAAATAATCACATTTCTAAAAAGCGAAAATCATTTTCTAAAAATCTTTTCGAATAGAGAACGCTGCCTGAAAGTTTCCTTTAGTACTCAATAATAAGATTTTAAAATCGAACTGGTCCAATTTTTGACACAGCAAGTAAATGCGCTTACCATGACTGGAGACTATGCATATAAAAAAAACGACGTGTCTTATTTAATTCATATATGTCGAACGTCGAAGTTTTCTATTTAGATTTTGATATGGGTTCGCTGACATTGTACAAGTATTTTATACAAATCCATCCTCGTATACTAATTTTCATGATCTACTCTCTTCTTTTTCATTTCCATATAATTACGTTTTTTTTTTTTTAATTTTTCCAATTAAAGATGGGAGAGATTGCAAATTGCTTAATAAATAGTGCTTTGTTTTTCTTGAAGATATTTTTAAATTGATTTCGTAGATTTGTTCAAAAGAACATTTCTCCTTGTCGTTTTTTATATCCATTACCGAAGAATGAGAAGTATATCAATTTTGTCGAATTGTCCACAAGACGTATTAAGAGAACCCAATTAAGTGTTGTATACGTATTTTTGATTAGCATTAAATCCTGAATTTATTTAAACATATCCGTCCGTCAGTCTGTATAACATCGGTTGCAAACATCCTCCTCACTGCAAAAATGCAGTTATCGACGTCAAGTTTCACAGAAATATTGGAAATTTTTGCACACAGATTGGTATTGAGAATGGGCAAAGTCTTTCGAAGGATCAGCCTACAGTACCCCTTAAACTGAGAACACATCGGTTTTCGAAAAGAAAAGACAAATTAGGTTTTTTGCTCATTACTCGCAAACTCCGACAGGCAAACCTATAAAAACTTGGTCGATGCTATACTATCTATACAAAAATGAAAAAAAATCGGCCACGCCTATCCAATATTGAAATGTATTCAAACTCCGTTTTTTGCTAGAATCCCCTACAAAAGCAAGCTTAAAAAACTCATGAATTATATACATTCTTCACTTGTATCAAGTTCGGCACGCGCCTAAGAATGTACATGTCTATCCGTTTGTCCGTCTACCCAACCATGTAATATCTGTTCGCAACACTGAAGATAACGTCAATTAATTTCCGAAAGAATTTGAAAATAATCTAAACCGATCAAAGTATCCGTCTGCACGACAACAAACACAGAGAACATCTTTGCTTTTCGTGTTTTTTGCTCGTTACTTCCACAAAAATAGAAAAAAATCAGCCATGCTGATTGTAGAATATTGTAGAATATATAAAAATGTTGCCTCTATCTTCAAGCCTTTAAAGGCAAAATTTTGAAGAAGTGTCTTCAGATGGGTTAGTAAGTAAATCGCTTAGAATTAATTTAGAAACCGAAAAATGAGTATTTTTATAGTTAAATATGGACAAGCGTATGCTATCAACTGCCAGAGATATTGGGCATAAAATTTGACGCAGATGTTAATTAAATTTCTGCCAAGCCAGGAGAGGAACATATTAGTCTGGATCAGCACACGCACAATGCAAATGCATTTTGATCATATTACAAAAACTCTTCTTTTTAGTTTTTCTTACTGGCCCATATTTAAGGCACGTTTAATACTGAGAGCCTTGTAAAAGGGGACACGTTTTACAAAGCAATCGATTCATTGTCTTCATGTAACTGTAGAATTTTGACAACCTTATAAAGAATTTCTCATATATCAAAGTGACAACGACCTAAACGAAACATATGGCATGGGCGTTTCTCGGATATTTTGCGTGCGCTCTTTTTTTAATTTAAATCCTATGACATAACACATCTTTTTTATTCCTTTCTATTGCAGATCCACTGTTGAACGTACCTGCGCCAACAGCATCCACTTCCTCTACCGCAACACCAGGCGCGACTTCCTTGCCAAAATCTTCGACAAACTTAAGTGAAACATCACCGGCAATCAGTAAAAAAATGTTCTAAACTCTTTTTAGAGAAAGTCGAAAAGAGGACGTAATCTAAGGGATCATATACAAAGTTCCAGAGAACGACTAGTTAATTATTGCGTTTTCTTTATTATTACTTTTTTTTTTTTAAATTTATGAAAAATATGTATATATATATATATATTATTATTATTTTTTTTTATGAATAAACCGTTACGTTAGAGTAAAAAGCTTCAAAGGCATTTTTGGCTCTGCCATCTATGCCTCTTCGCTGTAACCTGAAAATATAGTCTATAAAAATATAAAAAAAAAGAACAAGAAAACATATCACCCTGAAGTCTTTTGTTTGGTCTTAATCTCTCAGTCTAAATGTAGTCAACTTTCGCTTAAAGTCTATTTTGTTAGCCATTTTGAAATATCTGATGCAAAAAACAATTTCAAAAACTTGCTCGTAAAAAGTCATCTAGAGTTTGTTAAATATCATTAAAGAAATTTTTTTTTGGTTGGAACATTTAAAATATTACCTGCAAAGCTACATACGTATAAGCATATATATACATAAGCATCAAATCGTGAATCGGTCTAAGCATTTCCGTCTGTATAATCATATCTATGGTAAGCGTTCTCCTGACCGCAAAATGAAGATGCCCGCTTCAAATTTGGTAGAACCATTCAAATTTCGTACAGATGCGATGGCATCGAAAATTAGACATGTCGCTCAAAAAGCACGCCTTTCATCATAAACAGAGAACAAATAAAAAGTTATTGTTCATGGGCAAGAACATATACAGCGACTGTGTATCGAGTATCATTTGTTTTTAGTTCTGCATCACTAAGTGGTATAGGATTTGAGTGAATGTATGTAACAAAAGGATTAACCTTTTATTATACTGATCGATTCAGAATCATTTTCCGAAACGATTTAAGCATATCTGTCCGTCGGTCCTTGAAATACAATGTCAATCTATAGATATCCATTTGTCTTGACGAAATTTGATAAGCTGACGGGTTTTGGGCCAGGAAAGAAAACTCTTGAAAAAAACGATTTGATCGGACTTTTTCTACGATCACTTTCCACACAATGAGTGGGTTTTTCGGAAGAATGCATTATATGAAAAACTTTTACAACTTTCAAATTTTTCTCGACAAAAATCACTGAGCAAATCGTATTACGGTATGGTAAGCTTATGTAATATATTTGCAACAGATGAGCCGATGGTTTGCATGAACCGTTTCTACGGTTTCCATATACGAAAATGGTCAAATTTTTAATATTTCACAATGGCAATTAGTATATAATAGCAGTTTGACATAAAAATCAATCGTACCATATTTGGATCACATATGTCTATTTTTCGGGCCGTATCCCATAAAAATGATACTCATGAGAAGTAAATAAAAGAAAAGTCTACGTTCTAGTGCGTTCTAGGACGATAATAAGGGAACAGACTTTTAAAAAGAAGATTAAGTTTGCTAAATTTAGAACCCGTCAGTTTATGCTTTGACCTTGGTATTTTGTCAGCAACATAAATAAATTATACTTGCTCGATTATGTTTTTGTTTGTTATACCACCAGTTATGGTGCAGGGTATATTAAGTTAGTGCGGATGCATGTAACCTGCAGAAAAGCTTAAGATAGGCCCACCCTTTATTATAAGGATCGGCTCAGAATCGTAATCTGAATTCATCTAAGCCTATCTGCCTATCTGAAGTTTGGTAGAGTGGCATGTTTTGACCCAAAGTCGAACGCTATTTTGAAAATTGTTCGGGTCGGGTGCGCTTTTTCCACCATTCTCCATATAACGCCGTATTCTGGAAAGTCGTTATATCGCCAAAAATTGCAATTTTCAAACCTTCTCGGCAAAAGTGGCTAAGTAGTAGTATTTCGCCATTCTGAACTTGTATGAATACCTTCGAATAGGCGGAGGCAATTTTTGAATTCCCTCTCATACAACGAAAACTGAATCTCATACGATAAAAAGATATAATTTCTACTGCTTCATAATGAAAATATCCTAATAGTAATTTAACATGGAAAAATGAACTGTACCACATTTCGACTATCTCGGTCTATTTTTTGGACCCTACCTCAAGAATTTTTCACGAAAATTCATCTTTTGCAGAGTAGAAAAGTCTAAGTTTTAATATGTGGTGATGACAATGGATCTATAATAGCAATTTCGTACAAAAATTAACTCTACAAAGTTTGGACCATCCATGCCTATTTTGGATCTTCCCTGAAAACCGGCCCATAAAAATTATTTCATACAAAAATGAACTTTACGAAATTGGGACCATCCACGCTTATTTTTAGATCCTGCTCTTTGTCAGGATTAAACTTGCACTACATTACGTTGCGTTTTGTGCCCGCTGCCCCATAAATACACGCATGGAAAATATGCCTTTATATAGAAAGACGATATAATTTTTGTGTTCTATAATAAAAGTAAGAATTGTGCTGGACACTATGGCATAGGGTATTTAATGGTCGGTCTTGCTCGACAATAATTTTCTTAATTGCTTTTACGATAAAGATGACGGGCCATAACCCAATATGTTTTTATTTGTGCTTGCATAGATTAGGGAATGTGTGGAGAAGGTAACGCCTTCGCTACCTTGTTTAACACGTGTACCACCAGTGGCTCACAAGCGAATGCTTATGCGAAATAGGAGAAACTGCGCCGTCCTTAATGTGTTAAAGGAAAGTAAGTAAAACCACTAAAGGGTGGGGAATGCACGATAGAAAGATGACAAAAAATGACTTTTACTCCCGCTCCTATTTTTAAAAGTTTTTCCGCCTGGGCCGAAAGAAGGTCTCTGTTCCCTATCACACAAAAAAGGAGTGACAAAAATGCTCAATTTTTTGCGCGCGTAAAAGCTCAGTTTGATTATGGTCACGTTTTCTATATTGATCAGGCGAAGTCCATTGTACTTATCAGATATTAACAACATACGCTGCAAACGCAATAAGAAATAATCGGGAGTGAGAAAAGTTGAACGGATTTGGATCTTGGCTGAAATTAATTCATCTGGAGTTTGATCTTGACTGTTTTTCTCACCAAATTTGAAAATCAGATAACACATCTCACAGGTCCAACCCTATATAAAAATAAATAAAATAAATTAAAAATATAATTAACTTCTTTTTCTTAACTTTATATGATCAAAAATTGTTGTTTAATAAAATTTCAAAGTCGATTTTGAAAATATAAAAATTAAAAAAACCAAATAAGGAACAACGAAAACCATAGGTAAATAAGGCGAAATACGTACACATGGTTTTTAGTTCGTTAGCCTCAATTGGTCATGAGGTTTTATGTGATACAATTTCAAATATCACATCATAATATATATATCCTCCATATTTTCGCTATATATATATATAGTTATATACATAAGCTATATGCTATAAGCGAAATGTATGATTAGTATATTACAATTTATTGAAACTTTTTCTTGTTTCAACATAGTTAAGAAAAAGCCAGATTCAAATTTTTGATATCTTGGATTAGCGTAAAACGAGTCAAACGACCGAGGTACTCAAGTCTACATGTTTATTGACATTGATATGATTTGAAGTATAAGACTTGATTTAAAAATATTCTTCGTATTAATCCCTTTCCAATTTAGATAAATCATATTATGGACTCGCCGTCAAAACTTTATATATACATAAGATAACAAAGGAGTGAAGAAAACATGATATATCACAATATTATATATCTGCCTAATTGCAAAATTCTCTATTGATAGAAACAGAGAGAGAGAGAGAGAGAGAGAGCTTAAGTATATTCAACTTTGGTTTCATGCTTTCTTCAAATCGATTGCTATTCGTATGAGATCGATAAGAATTGGTCTCGCAATCGAGCAGTAGCTCTCTAATGTATATTTATTTTCTGAAGGTCATATCATTCCCTTGGTTATTGTGAACACTTTGTTGAAATTAAGCCTGTTTGCATAATTTCTCCTGCATGCGTATATGTGGGAGATGCTATTTAATATTTCAAAAGTTGAATGATAAAATTAGTCAGATGCTTTCAAAGTGGTGAGTAAAAGACGAGTAAAAAACGGAACCGTTGGTCGTAGATAATTGCTGAGTATAAATAGTGGTAGTTCTCAAACTCTAGTTTTGACTTTTACCGATTAATTTTGGAAATTGCCCATATATATACACATTCATATATTATGTATGAACATATATATGAATATATCATATACATACATTTTCAATATATTATGTACACACACACATATATATCTATATATATATATATATATATATACATTTATATATATGTATATATATGAATATATATTCGTATATATTATGTAAATTTATATGCATACGTATTTGTAAATTTTGATAATTGCGTGTATATTTGCGTGTGACTGTCCTATGTTTGGTTAGTTGTTCTCTACTCCCTTGTTTGTATAAAAGTGAGATGAACTGGAAATATGAATAAACATGTGCATGCAGCATGAACACGTTTGAAGTCTGAAAGACAAAAAGAATTATAATCAATTAAATTATGTTATAATGATTGATTGATTGATTGATTGTTTTGAATACTGGTGGTATAGTGATGGAGCACATAATGATTTTAAATATGAAATGTTTGTTAAATTTCGTTTGCTTTTTTTTTTGCTCTTTCTTTTTTTTGTTCTTTTTTCTTCTTTTTTTTTTTTAAATACAATATATAGGTAGCTGTAAAGAGGACTCGAAAGTGGGGCTAAAAAGCAGCATCACTTGAATCCAATCTGTGCAATAAAAAAATTTGATTTTTATTAGAATGGTGTTAACACTGTATGAACATTTGAGAATAACAGTCTTTCGGGAGAGTTTTTTTTAAAGGACGTTTGTTAAGAGAGTCCGTTAGCGCATAAAATATTGAATGCTTTCTCTTTCTTTCTTTCTCTCCCAGCAACTGTAACGCTGCTAAAGTTTTTCATTATTTAACAAAATTTCATTTTGATCACTTTTTGCACACTTGCTTAACTGTTTATCTCATTTTATCGTTTGCTTGAAGAATGCTTCTCCTTATTACTCGTGTCAGCATGTTGAGGAGCGAGAGAGAGAGAGCAAGAACAGACAGTTCGTTTGTATTGTGTGGAGAGTACAGATATAACGTCTTTTTTTATAATAAAAATAATAATAATTTTTTTTCTTCTTTTTATCTTAATATATCGGATGGTCATCAGTCTTTATCTTCTTTATAGGTAATGCCTCTCCAACCATTTCTCATTTCTTTTTGCAATAAAAAGTTCACACGTGACATTTTTATCTTTTTTTTATGTATTTTTTTTTCTTTTTCTTTTTTTTTTTTTTTTTTGCTTTTTTCTTGGTTTCTTAAAAGTTCTATAATTTTATAGATATTGTGTGGATAGTAGTATAGATGCTGATCTCTTTAAACTAAATTAAGTTTAAATACTAAACATTAAGTTTCTCTTCTGGTTGCGCTAATTATTATTATTATTTTTTTTTAATTCGATTTTTTCCTTTGTTAAAAACTGAAACTTTTCTTTCTTATTCACTTTTTAGTTATGCTTTTAATATTATTATTATTATGATTATTATTATTATGCGTGCTTTCTGTTCCAAATAAAAAATATGATCACCGGACAGAAGTGCTTTTGACAACACAATCTTGTTCTTTGTTTTTCTTATTATCAATTGTATAAATTAAGAATTAATTTTACTTAAACACATTTTCAAAATTGCAAAAAATATTTTTTTAAGTAAATAGTTAATCACTGTTTTTTTTTCATTTTTAAACATTTTTCTTTTCTTTTTATTTCATAATTTTAACGACGATTGTCACGATAACTACGACCGCTACGTTCATTGTTAGCACGAAAATGACGGTCACGATCCCCTCCCCGAGAATTACGTTCGCGTGTACGATTTATATTCGAATTGTTCACGTCACCGCCCCGATTACCGCGGTAACCTTGACTGCTGGAACCGCCACCACCACCCACGCTACCGCTATTACCACCCGGCCCTGTGTTATTGCCATTACTACCGCTAAGACTGGGTGGGAATCCGGTAGATAGTGAGCCTGTCGGCAGACCCGCGTGTTTCCACGCCGCAAAATCTTCATAGGATGGTGCGGATTTATCGAAACCCGGCGGTGGTGGGCGTATAGGTTGTGGTGGTGGATAATCCGGTAGTGGCGGCCCATCATAATAACGCACTGGAGGCGGCAATTGTTCGTATATAGAGGCAGAACCGCCCGACGGAGGTACTGCTGCACTACCGGGCGTTGGCGGCGGTAGTTGACCAAACGGTGGTACAAATGGCAATGGCGGCAATTGGCCATGCATTGTGCGCATATAATCTGCTAAATAAGCTTCGGCAGCGGCTGCTGGTGTCATGTACCGTTCCCAGGGTGGTAAGCCGGCATCGCCACCACCAGCCCGCGAACTACCTCCACTGCCACCAGGACCACCGCCTGGTCCACTTCTATACGGCGAACCGCTCCTTTTATAACTAGTTGATGGGTGACCCAAATGCGCAGGCAACTTATAGGGACGATGTGGTCCACTACCATAGGTGCGTTTATGACGCATAGGCCCACCGCCGATCTCTCGTCTCTCATGGCCGCCGTGCCGGTAACTTGTGCTACCTCGGATACCACCACGTGTCGACAAACTTTTCGGCGGTTTATAAACGACCCGAATATTTTTTTCACGCATCATTTTTGCAGTTTCCTTCGATTTACGCAAAATTGGTGTCAATTCGATTTTTTCATCTTCCGGAAAAAGGCGACATAATTCCGCACCCACTTTTGGTTCAATTTCTTGACCATCACGACCGATTTTTACTGGTTTTCCTTCGTTCCATGAATTGTATAAATGAGACGTGCAATTAAAGGAGAGTTCTTTGCGGCAAATCCAATCAATTTCGATGACACCACCCAAAGCTCTCGAGGACATGCTGGGCGGTAACACCCAAGCTGGCTGCGTTATGTCCCGACGTGATGATGCGCTCATACGAGCAAAACCCGCGAATTTTCCTGAAAAAAATGGGCGCTTTATAGGTATGAACTAAAATTTGAACGCTTCCTATGCAAATCTTTGATATCCAGCATTTCAATTACAAACCATTTCGACTTTTATGGTGAAACGCAAATATAATTTGATTCTTTAATTTTTGTCATAAAAGGCGAATGTAATCGACAACATATGTGTTCATTTGAAACAAAAATCTTGGAGCGCATTTTTTTCGGCCAGAAACATAGCATATTATTTGCAAGTGAGCTCTTTTTTAAAATAATACGTTTGAAATTGACTCTTTGCAGATCGCTTCGGTTCCTTGTATATACAAAATAGAGCCTTCTTACAGTTTATAGGTCTTTTCAATATTGATAAGCGCAATAAAGAATGTGAAACACCGCCCGTTTCAAATCTATGGCCATCAGTATAATACATGTACAGGGTTTCAGAATTCTACTTTTAAATTTCAAGACAAAATACCGAAAAAGAGAAAGATGAAAAGACGCAGATAATTATGTATCAGTAATTTATATGGGTTATTCTTTTTGATGTATACTTCCAAGCTTTACAAAGGGAATGAAAGATTGAACTACCATCGTTTGGAAAACACCCAAAAAGACTTTCCTTTCTAGAAATCGTTCCCATTACACTTAATGGCAGTAATCAATTTATAATTCCTATACAAATACAAAAATCTACTCCAAATTGTTGGACGTCTTAGCTAACGTATTTGATTAACACCTGCTGCAAATAATTTAATAATAGTTAACATACTACAAAAAGTGTTTTTACTTACCACTCTCATTAACCGAAAATATCAGTAATACATTTCTGGCCTCTTTGAAAGCTTGGCTTAAGTTGGTATCATTTTGTGGCAAAGTAGCCCACACATTTTGACTTTTCGAGATATTAACATTATCTGAATTGTTAGATTTGATGAGAAAAAAACGTGTATCACGGAATAAATAGTTTAATTTAGTTTTATAGTCGTATAACGAAACACTTTTACCACCCCCGCTAGAAGCGTTCGTCGACGATCCTTTTTTTTCTGGTGATGTCGATTTTAGAGGATTTTTGCGACCATTGCGTTTTATATTGGCAGCCGAATCAGAATCTTCAGATTCTGAATCACTATCAAAAGGAACTGCAGAGGTTTTAGCTTTAATAACTTCTTCATCGCTGGCTTCAGTATTACCACTGTTAACAGCGGCGCTCTGGCTAGCTTCAGATGACTTTTTACGCGACTTCTTTGAATCGATTGTTTCCGATTTCTTACTTTCTACGGGATCCTTCGATTCAGTTGATTTACTTGATTTAATTTCAGCATTGCTGCGTTTCTTTTTACTGGCATTTTTACCATTCACCGTAGATTCTTTTACTGATGGTGAAGCAGCTCGCTTCGATTTTTTTTCTATAGATTTCGCTGGTGGTGGCGGTGGTGGGGCTTTTTGCGGTTTCTTAGCTTTCGCTTTTATCTTCTCTTTGGATTTAGTAGAAGGGGCTGTGCTTACCGAGCTAATACTAGGTTGCGAATCCGATGACTCTGAACCCGATTCGGAAGCTTCACTACGAGTATCAAAAGATTCGTCAAAATGTTGCAATTCTTCAGCTATATCCGCCTCATTCTCATCAAGACCCAAATGAACAGCATCTAGATCTGCCATTATTTTCATTGAAAAGCTGCTCAATAGTATTTCAAATAGGATGATGATAAACTTAAATTATTGCAATTAACCCTTTTATGGTTACACAGGCAAAACCCTGCTTTAATATCAACTTTTCGGGTTGCTACTTTTCCTAAACTTCAAGTATTTCACAAAGAAGGTTAACGCAGGGACAGGTGACCGGACAAAGCCATAAAACAAACAAAAAAAAAATCATATTAGCATACAACAGAAGTTTTTAATGGTTGATCGTAAGTAAACTATTGTCTGCATATTTGTCTTTTCAAAAGCACATACCTTCTTTACTCCTGCACAAAGTAACGTCGCATGAATTTGTAATAATTAATTATGTATAACTGCCTAAAGATTAGGAAAATTTTCAATGAATTTTCTTAATTTTTCAACGAATTCACATTCACACATCAATTTTAATCGGCTACGTTTTCATTTGACAATGGCGACTAACAGAGCTGCCTCTAGCATAAAAATGCCATTCATATTAGCGGGAATGAGAGTAAATTCGTTTTTTTATTATCTAACTGCAAACTAGGCATCATTGTTTTCGATATAAATAAGCAAATTACTTCTCTGTACTCACGCGGGCAAGTACGGAGTAATAATTCATTTGACAGCACTTCGTAACTCCGTGTAAAGAACAATTATCTATTTGATAATATTTCATAACATTGCTTGACAGCTGATTTTTCAGTCGTGCTACGAATTTCTTTAAGCTTAAGAGAATTTGTGGATTTACTTCAGAAATGGATTTAGATTTGTCTATTTTACCATTAGAGTGCGTGGAAAATTTAGTAAAACAAAAATGTTTGATTTCAAAAAGTAAATTCCCTAAAAATTTATATCCAGGTTGCTGGGCTAAATGTCGTATAGTTTCTAAGCAATCGGAAAAGCTTGAGGATCACTTTGGAATTTGTCAAATATTTCCAAGAGCAGAATGCAACGACAATGTTTGTTATTTGGATGCAAGTGTGCAAAGCTTTAAGCAAATACAAGGCGATCGAGTGATCTATAAGCTAACAAGACTCCAATGCTTGCAATTACCAATTAAGCAAGTGAAAGCAATAGATTTAAATGTTTATTTGATACCGGAGGTTTACATATCCAAATTCCACTTAATAACGAAATCGTACTTAAGGCAAATCTTACAAATTCTTCTGCAAAATTTCCATTTACACGATACTTGCTACATCCGAAGTTCGGAGTTACTCGAATGTGGCATTGATAGTATTAAAATCATAGGTGGCACTGATAATGACGATCGTGAAATGGAATTTTTTATTATAAATGATCAAAGTTTAATCAATTTAAAGGAATGTTTCATAAAATCCAAACAAATCTGTGAACCTTGTTTAGAATTAAAAACCTATACGCAAGTGCAACAGGAATTGAATGAATTCATGACCTTAGTTCAGTTGCAACGTTCTCAAAAGGTTTCTCTACGTATACCGTTGAATCTATTGGTAAGAGGGGCTAACGGCTGTGGAAAAACAGCTTTGCTAGAAACCTGGCTTAAAGACCGACAATGTAATGTTTTTCGCATAACTTCGCTACAAATCGTACAACCTTTGCCTGGCGATTCCGAGATACAGATAAGAAAGATTTTCCAAGCTGCTATTAATTTTGAAAAACATTTCAAATCTAAAGGTTTGGCAATTGATATGGTATTGAAGCTAAGTATAGAAATATAACATTTTACTCTATTAGGAGCTACGGTTATATTCCTGGAAGATCTTCATCTGTGGTACACAGATTTAGGAAAAAATTCAAAAAGCATTCCGAGCTCTTTAGGAGAGCTATTTTTACAAATTGATCAACTGTTTAGAATGGGTCAGGAGATTATGTGTTTGGCTACTACATCAAGTTCAGAAAAATTTGATAAATTTGAGACAGAGATTACAATGAATACTTTTACTAAGGCCGATGAACGTATACAAGTAATTGCTCAATTGCTTTCTGAAAGTATACCTTCAATAAGTCTTTCGACAACGCTTCTTGAATTAACGGCTAAGCAAGCACGTGGATATACCATAGCGGATTTTAAATTATTGGCAGATAATGTGGCATATAGTCTGCTCGCAAAGTCTGGAAAAAGTTTGGAGTTTGTTTTAGAAGACCACCTAAGAAAGGCAAGTTTTGTATGGCTGTCGAATCGGTAAATTAATAAAATTACGGATTCCATTTGCAGCTTAAACCCTTCGCATTAACTAACTCTGAGGTCACTACCTATAAACCGACGGAAAGTTTTGATACGATCGGTGGCATAAACAATTTAAAAAAAGTTTTAAACGCTTCGATACTTGCTGGCCTAAAGCATGTAGATGCCTTCTCGCGTTTCGGATTACAGTTGCCAAAGGGTATCTTACTCTACGGACCACCAGGATGTGCTAAGACCACTATAGCAAAATCTTTAGCCAATGAAGCAAGTATGACTTTTATCGCTACGTCAGGAGCAGAGGTTTATTCGCCATACATTGGCTGTGCGGAAAAATTTATAGCAAAACTATTTGATGCTGCTCGTAAAAATACTCCCTGCATGATATTCCTAGATGAAATTGGTAAAAATTTTTATCCAAGTCCTTTAATGCATTTTCATACTAAACCATAAAATTTACAGATACTCTTGTAGGTCGTCGTTCTATAAGCTCAAGTTCTACAGGTTCCAGCGACGTACAAATGCGAATTTTGTCTACTCTACTTACCGAAATGGATGGTATTGTTTCGGCCAATACCGACAGTTATATTTTAGTTGTAGCCGCTACTAATCGTCCGGATATGATCGATGAAGCTCTTATGCGACCTGGACGTTTCGATAAATTATTGCATGTTCCAGTCCCTGATTTTGAAACAAGAAATTTAATTTTTCAACTCTGTAGTAAACGAATGCCGTTTGATTCAGATTTAAATTTGGAAAGTTTGGCCAGCCGCACTGGTAACTTCTCCGGGGCCGATATTTGTAATCTGTGCAATGAAGCCGCAATGCGTGCGTTTCAACGTAATCTCTGTTCTACCGAAATCCAATCCGAAGATTTCGAGTACGTGCTAAGTGAAACAAAGTCATCTTTGACACAACAACAGATAGACTGGTATTATCAATTTGAAAGCAAATATTTCCAACGTTAGCTTCAAAGTTACGGCATATGAAAGTGAAAACTAAGAAAGATATATTCGCTGTACGACGAATTTGAAATAGCCAGGACTCTCAGAACTTCTAATTCTCTGAACTTTGAGGGTATCATTTGGTCAACTAAGACAATTTCCATCTTGTGGTTTATAGCATCATTGCATATCTCTATATAAAAAGGCGTCAGGTAAATGTTGCTTTCTGTATACACGCATTATGTCATATGCACATGTTTTGTTAGATATTCAAAAAGCGCATTTATTATCAACATCAATATTTTTGCCTTAACGAGTTTCATAACAACAAAAATATGGTTAAATGAGCTACTGACATCGTGATAGAAAATCTAGTCATTCATTTGCAGTTGACGATGCCTTGTGTCGGTCGTTGATCCCCAGCGAGCGATCATATAGCGCCGAGTTAAAGAAGAAACGCTGCATGATGGCGACATATTGAATCGCGAGCTCATGCCATCATCTGGATAGAGTCGACCGAAAAGTAAAACGTTTAACACCACGTTAAAGCAGTGCAAAAAGTACTCTACTGCAGCCGCTGTCCATTTAGACTATCCCAAACCCTTCTTGGAGACCATTAATGCCCTATCGGTCATCAGATTCTCATGATGGGAGTGTCTCTAAAACTCTCGATACCTTTGCGCATCGTGGGGTGCGCTGTATTCATCTAGAGAAATATACAAGAAAAATGTTCCTTGGAGACAAACGGGATTTGTCCATCAAACCAATTCTTTAACACGAACTTCTCAGCATTCTCATCCAGTCGTACTCAAAATGTCCGCAAATTACACTACCGCTATACGTCGTTCTTCGATCGTATTGGCCGCCTTTGAAATAACCTGCCAGCAATAATTTTTCCCACCATTTCAGATGTTTCCACTTTCAAGACGAATGTACACAAATACTCTACTAAACTTCCTTCCTGCGTCCACGGCTGTCAATCTTCGTGCCTTTTAGCGTGGCCACACATACGTATAAGAGACATCCCATAAGAAAAGAATACATAAATAAATAAATTGATTGTTCAATTGTCGAAGACGTTCTGCATTTGACGTTTTAACCTTTCTTTGAGATTTCCAGATCGTGATCGCAAGGTCAAAAACTACTTACGACCTTGAAATGAAAAAAGCCAAGTAGCACAATCACATAATTCCCTATTATTTGCAAATAATTTTAACGAAATTTTAGTAGGTGCCATCTGTTGTTGCTTCTACGCTTACGAATCAAACATAAAGATTATGGAAAAACAAATGAAATCTTAGCATTGTAGTATTTTGACCCATCATTTATCAATAAGCTCACTTTTTATAAGACGCAAAGCCTGATATTTTTAGCGGAAATGAGTTTACCTTAAAACTTTGCAAAACTTTATTTCACACCGCAGAGCTTTCGAGAAGAAGCACTGCCAACTAGAAGAGATATTTTTTAAGAAATTCATAAATATAATGAGTATGGCAACTCGGCTCGCTTATATTTGTTTTTTTGTTTTTTTTTTTTTGCTGAACTCAATGCAAGAAAAGGAAAAGTTGGGATAAAGCCTTGAAAAATTGTGTCAAAAAAATCGGTTTGTAGATTTAAAAAGATTAATATCACGTATAATAAATGAAAAATCTTTCAGTGACTTAATAGCGGGATTCTTGTGCCTTCGGTATTACAAATTTAGCCTAAGGATTTCATATAAATACACAAATTTTGATCATGAATAATGGATTTGACGAATGGGTTAGTAGCTGGATCGTATTGAAAATTGAATAACCTCTTCATTAACGTATTCTCTTTGTTTGTTTATTACAGGGTGGCTATATGCAGGCAAAGATTACTAAATTGGAGGAACAATTTAGTAATGCCAGCAATCCTTTTAAAAAATCTGATCTTTTCGCGGGCATTTCTATTTTTGTCAATGGTTTAACAAATCCTTCAGCCGATGAGTTGAAACGTATTATGATGATACATGGTGGTGTATTTCATCATTATGAACGTTCACATACTAGTTTTATAATAGCTGAAAATTTACCAGATGTTAAAGTACGCAACTTCAATACTAGTAAAATTATAAGCCCGCAATGGGTCGTAGACTGCGTCAAAGAACAACGTATTCTTGACTATGCCCGCTATTTGCTGTACACTAATCAAAAGACTTCGCAACCTAGTATACAGTTTAGTTTAAACAAAAAGACTGATGTTTTAAAGCTATCATCGGCTAAAGAGTTCGATCCTAAAGAAATTCAAAATCAATTGACGAATATTAATCAGGGTCTAGCGGAGTTAAATGCTAGTTCCGCTAATTACAAAACTACTATTACTTCTAATACGGCACTTACAGCAGTTGATCCAAAGTTTCTTAATGAATTTTTCAACAACTCGCGTTTGCATCACATTGCTACATTGGGAGCAGGTTTTAAGCAGTATATTAGCGAATTGAGGCAACAACGTAATGGATATGATTTTCCTGCCAGACAGCAGCTTAAAGAAAAGTTGGGTAAAACGTATCCAACACAACACGCGATTAATAATGCTGGCAAAAATTGCATTATGCATATCGATATGGATTGTTTTTTTGTATCTGTGGGATTGCGTAAACATCCGCATCTTAGGGGATATCCAGTAGTAGTAACACATTCAAAAGGTTTTTTACAAAAAAAAAAAAAAAAAAAAAAATGAAGAAATTTGAAATTATTTTGACTTATTTTTCATCATAGGCGGCTCTTCAGCTTCCGAAATCTCAGTGAATTCTCAAGCTGATCGACAAGCCGAAATGGAACTGTTCGAAAAACGCTTTAAACAGCGTCTACACAATAACATTCTATCGGATAAAGTGCGTGGCGGTTTCGAAAGTAAATTGTCTCTATCAGAAATAGCCTCAGCTTCTTATGAGGCTCGAGCCAAAGGTATATACAATGGCATGTTCGTGGGTCAGGCTTTGACACTGTGCCCGGAATTAAAAACTATACCATACGACTTTGAAGGTTACCGAGAAGTGGCTTTCACTTTGTACAATACTATTGCCCAGTATACCTTAAATATAGAGGCAGTCAGCTGCGATGAAATGTTTGTTGATTTAACCGAAGTGGTAAAATCCCTTGAAATTCCTGTTATGAATTTCGTAAAAGCTATACGCAGAGAGGTAAAAGAAAAAACTGGCTGCCCTTGTTCAGCAGGGGTGGGTGCTAATAAGTAAGTTCCAAGATTGTAAAAAAGCAATTTTATATTTTATAAGTTTTTTATATACAGATTGCAGGCTAGAATGGCTACGAAGAAAGCCAAGCCCGATGGTCAGTATTATTTAGAAAGTGATAACGTATGGGCTTATATGTCGAATATATCGATAGAAGAGTTACCTGGCGTAGGCAGCAGTACGGCTTATACATTAAAGGAGGCCAAACTAAAGAGTTGTGGCGATTTGCAAAAATGCTCTTTACCCCGTTTAAAAGAGCTGGTTGGCAAAAAGTTGGGTGAAACCTTATATCAATTTTGTCGTGGTATTGATCCGAGACCGCTGGTTTTCGAGCAAATACGCAAATCTATATCGGCAGAGGTTAACTACGGTATACGTTTCAAGAAATATGCAGAATTAGAAATATTTCTTAAGCAGTTGTCGGAAGAAGTTACAAAACGTTTAAAAGACATTAAACGTAAAACCAAATGTTTAACGCTAAAGCTAATGATACGAGCGAAAGATGCACCCAAAGAAACATCCAAATTTATGGGTCATGGTGTCTGTGATCATATCACAAAATCGGTACCCCTTTCAGCGTATACCGACGATTTAGAAATAATAACCCGAACTACATTAGCAACCATGAAATCCTTGAATTTACCCCCAGACGAATTGAGAGGTATTGGTATACAGCTTACAAAATTAGACGAACCAAACGAATTTATTGATAGACCAAAAGAGAATATAATCAAGTGCATGTTTTCTAAAGTTAAAGAAAAACAAAAAGAGATCACTATCATGAATGGAAACGGAGAAGAAAAGGAAAAATATGAATCTTTTAAAACAATTGGAAAAGAAAATGTAATGTTTCCAATTACAGAGAAGCAACCAAAAACGTGTCTGGAAAAAAAGGTAATTAAGAAGGCGCGTAAGACAGAGAAAAAAGATAAAGATCGTATGCCGGATGTTATTAGTATGTTGAAAAATAATGCCAACAAGCCGCGAAGTGTGAAAAAGCAAACCATACCCAACGATTTAGATCCCGAAGTATTTAATGCTTTACCTTTAGATATAAAAAACGAAATTCTTGAAGAACGAGGTTATCGTCCTCTAACGGAAGAGCGGTCTTCAAGTACAAATTTATGGGATTTCACTGAAGGTGAATTGCAACCGTCAACTTCAAAGGAAGCGGAAGCAAAACGCCTAAACGAACGAATAACAGATTTTCCAATCAAAAAATTTATGGAGCCAATGGAAAATTGTCAGATTGATAATGCATTCTTGGATGCTTTACCAATTGATTTAAGAGCCGAAATTGAAGAACAAATGATAGCATCCGAACCATCACTTCCAATTAATCAAAATCTTGCAGAGTGTTCAAAAGCAATTACTCAACGAAGAAATATCTTCCAACAGGATAATTGCCAGCAATTACTTCTAGCTTGGATCGAAAGTACTAACACACCAGAAAGTTACGATATTGAGCTAATCTGTCAGGATGCTCGCCAGGTTATAAGACATAAAGAACTGGATCAACTTTATAGTTCTTTACAGTATATGATACAGTTACTTAACGGTCGTAGTAAGTCTGTGGAGCATGAGGATTGTCTGTGGCATGCAGTCCTTCAGCTTTTACAAGAAACGATTGACAAAGAAATGCGTGTAATCTTCGATGGCCGAAAATTGCATCTACCTTTAAAATTGAAATGTGATAAATGTGCAAGCGATGAATAAATATAGCAAAATGTTGTATTCAAAGTTGTTGTTAACCCGCACGTTATTAGTATGTAATCCCAAGAGGTAAAGAAAAAAATAAAAAAAAGAAAAGGAAAAGGAAAAACGACGTTTTAAACTAACTGTACGATTACATAACGATCTTAATTTCCTCAGGTGAATAGTATTCGTGTAATTATAAATTTCAAGACCTTTGTCTACTCTAATTTTGATTTAAATCGTCTCACATAGACATTCAAGGAATAAAATTTTCTAAATAAGAAATTGACCCGACAGGACACAAAATTAATGCGGGGATTAGAGTATAACTTATTATCGATAAATGACCCTCAGCAACACGAATTTCAAGGTAGCTATTACAATTTCAATATTGGCACCATCTATCTTTAAGGCGAGAGTCAGATGCTCATTCGGGGGTCGATAAATTACCCTAATTGTTGAGGCCAATTCGTCTCAAGTTCATTCGCAGCCACCCAAGGGGAAATGCAGTCCAAACGGTAGTCAATGTTAGCCTGATATGCTTCCAAATTATCAGCACTTCCGCAAATCATAGGCAAATACAAAGGGCATACACGAAACTAGGTTAAACGTATTAAAGAAAACATTCATATACCCAGTCCATAACAGTTATTTAAGTCTGGCCAACATTTAGTAGGGTTCAATTGCTTGCAAGCAGCATCTACACTTAAATGTTCAGCGTTTTTTGTCCTGTATCATTAACTAATACAAACTTTTATATTACCGCCAGCCCGTGATAGAATTTTATCTTACATGGAAATTATGAAATATTTGGAAAAGAAAAGATTCGATAGATTTTTGTATTGGATTTGGACGCAGTATCTTACTATTACTGAGCAAGAGTATTAGGTTGCAGCTCGAAAACGGGCTCAAAGCGATGGGTTGTAATTTGGCGTTGAATAAGGACTTTTTGCACTCTTTATGACAAACATATAGACTATATAAGAATGGGGAGGAGGTTTTGAAGCATATTAATCATATTTCTGTATCCAACTATTAGTATTCGGAATTTGAATTGTGTGACAATAGAGACTTGAAGGGTACATATGATGGGAATTGAAATAGATTCACCTTTTACTATATTAATCGATTCAGAATCACTTTCTGCACTGCGATCACAGCTTATTTGTCCGCTTGTGTGCCTTGTTTTCTTTTGTTTAACGTAGAGGCTGCAATTTTGGAGATATTTATTTCGATATTTGGTGCAGTGATGTGTTTTTTGTTTCAATCGGACGGCTTTTTCGACCGCGTCCCCTATAAAGCATTAATACCTTGCCTTACGCATATACATTTTTACAAGCAAGTTACCAGTGCCACACGCCAACGCAACATTTTTGTTTTAATTTCTTCTTTTGCTAAATGTTCCGTCCAGCTAATTGCTGTTAATCTTTTCGCCAGTCCCCAGTCGCCACTTTCGCTGTGTGCAGCAGATCAGGCCTCCTTTTTCCATATTTTTTGGAATTTGATTTCTTGGAAAATCGATTAGCTTTCACGCAAACTCAAATTATTAAATTTGGGATTTTCGTGACCCATTTTTAAAAGCTACACGTCTGCTTCCATGTGCTACTTTAACCATAGCTATGCGTTTCCGGTGTTTCTAGATTTGAGAGACTCTGTCAGTTATTCTCAAGAGAACTTCGTACGGTCCTTCCAACTTGGAGTGCACATTTGGCGATAACCTGTCGCTACACCGCATAATAAATTTAATAAATCATCCTGAGCTCGCTCTCCAATCATTTCCGGCCATTAACTTGGCATTTGCGAATTATTCTGCCCACTTGTGACCTTTCAGCTTATTTCACGCTTCTTTTAGTTTACTAGATTACTATCAATCCACGCTGCTACTAATTTCCGCCATTCTCCGTTGAATTCGTTTAACAGGGTTGTTAAATCAGGGTTGTAAAACAGGTAATTAAATGGAGATTTATTAAAAAAAATACTTTTTATTTTACTGGTCAGTGTGATCGCGCTGTTTGGATCGAGTCAAAATAACAACTAAATCTAAGAGCCTATCCCACTTTACAAATTATTTGAAGTTACTTTGGTTTCTGTGGGTGCGTGATACTATTCTTGGTTTGGTAAATTATCGCAGACGGTGATCTTCCATTTTTTGCTGAATTACTCAGGAACGTGCAAAGTCTCTCTTCTTGATATAGCTTCACATTGGCTATTCCAATAACTTCCCGGTGCATCGGTGAATCGTTCTTGCATTTTCCAAAATAAGGCTTTTCCATTGAGCCTAATGTGCTTTTGCTACGGGGGCTCCCTCATCGATTCGGTCTTTGATAGGAGGCTCTCATCTACTTTAACGGCTGGTATTACATAGAGATTGACATTGAGATCGTGGCCGGTTAGCTGCGCGATGCGTATGCTTTCTTTCGCTCAGGCGTATATTCTTCATGACCTTTGTGGCATTTTGGGGTCTTCGAGGGCTTCTGTACATGTTTTTGCTCACTGCAGCCATCCATTAATTTAACCGATTGTTTACTTGGGTACCGCACGAATTTCTTGACTTGACCATCGCTTTTGCTGTTGTGGTTAATAAAGTCAAGTGAGATGGCTCCTGACGAAATTTGTATTCAGGAAGAATGTGTTCGACCTTGTTGCAATTATAGCGTCTCTCTTTGCATAGCGAGTTGGTCAAATCATCAAATATGATACGATTTTCGTGACAGTAGGCTTTTTCACGAGGAACTCGTCTCACCTAATAGTTATTTTCGATTTAAAAATGAAAAATTTATTTATTTATTGATTTCGTTAATTTACGATTTTACTTATTCTCGTTGGTCAAGGTCAAAAGATTTCATTATTTGATAAAAGACATACATATCGAAATTATTATGACAACGAGTAAAGCTTCCGTATTTCTTAAATTGGATTGATACATATAGACATTGTACGCAATCTGCAAGGTGTAATATATATTTATGTTAAAATGTTTGTTTGTAAATTAATAATAACACCTGATATGCATTGACATCGAAAGATCATTAAAGGCTGTTTTCATTTAATATTTAATGTAAAGTTTTTGTTTTTGTTTTTGTTTTCTTATGCTAACAAAACAACAATTATTCATGTATTTTTACATATGAATATATGTACAATGTAATGTATTATGTTGCATACGTTTAGTTTTTAAATTAGGTGCAATATGTTAAAATGTAGCATGGCATGGTATGGTATGGCATGGCAGTGCACGGCATTGCATACATGCCTTAATGTACTATAATATGCTACAGGTTTGTCGTTGTTTTAATTACATATCTTAGAAACGTGTTAAACACAATCTAGTAAAACATTTCAAAAGAATTTCGATAGTGCAAAAGGTCTTTTAAAAATTCACATTGGCACAACGGAGACTTATTCTCTACACACACACACACACACATACACACACATGTATATATTATGAAAAATGGTCAATTGAGGTGAAAAAAATTAATAGAAATATTTTACATAACATATATAGTATGTGTTTAGGTAACGATTTGTATGAATTTTTTTTTTGTTTTTTATTTTATTTTTTTTTTGTTGAAAAAGTGAAAGCCGACTTGATTCAATATTTTTCAAAATTTAATTTATAATCAAATTGAAAAATTTTCTTTGAAAATTAATTTTGGTGTTTATTTGCTCATTTGATTGGCATCAAAAAATTAGATCAATTCTCGATCGGTTTCATAATCTTGAGCTACAAATATTGATATTGATTAAATCGTGTGCGTGTGTGTATGTTAAGCTTAGCCTTGATTACTTTTTATATTAAACTAATATTAAAAATCTATTGCAAAAGAGTGAAGTAATTAAAAACACGCTTGACTATACATCCACAATGCGGTTATGTTCGATTTTTTTGACCTCAGATGCCTAAGATTCTGAGCCGATTTACCAATGTCCATCTAGATTCGTTATCTACCATATGTCATATGTTGGAAGAGTGGTCGCATCATACACACCTAGCATGGGATGCTGAAACTTGACGTATAGCCGCAGATAAGTTCGGGACGTTGGGCGAAACCTAACATTTTATTATTACCTATATGTTAACTTTTGTAACGAAAAGTTAAATTTAGTACAAATAAATATGACATGAATTTCGAAAAGTTCAATGTGAAACTTAGGCTTAGTTTAGATTTTGGCTATACAACGTCGCTGATAATATTATAGTTTATGGTATGGTATGGGATATATTTTGCAGAAGTCATCCAAAAGGTGGTTCTAATTGGCCAAATGACACGCGCACAGTTAGGAAAATTTCTTGCAATTCTTGTGTATTACGTTGGTTTTACGTGAATACAAATTCCTTTAGTTTTTAATGAACAATAGGTAACTGTCGAACTGACTTGCAAGTGCGGTATTTTCCATTAGTGCCCGATGTGGTAGCAAAACTTGCTTATAATCATTGTCCAAAAACAAAGCGTACGGCGAACGAAATGTGCTTAAAGAACATTTGCCAGATGTTCAAACAAATTCTTATCGGTTTCTCTTACATAATAGATGACTTGATTAGGTCTCTGATCATTTGTCAATTTGCTAATGACTTATCCACATGAAAGTCTTACTATGCTATAAAGAATGTTAATAGAGAAAGTAATAGTGAAGTATACCCGATTATTGCCGATCATCTGTAGGAACTAATTTTGTTTCTTTGAAAAAAATAGACGATGGTGTGATAATATTGAAATATAAATATGTCGATATCGTGTGCGTATTTGTAAATATTGTTTTGAACATTGCAAGCCGAATGGCGAAAGTAATATAAACGAGCTTTTGCTTGACGAATATGACGAGATGCACGCATAACAAAACACATATTTGCAGAAAAAGCCTAAACGTGATTCAATAATACTGGTTAAGATGAAGGCAGAATCAAAGTCATCTGTGCAAACATTATTGATATTGAATGGGAAACTAGATACATGATAATTACTATAATGCAAAGTCTCTCGAATAAAGTGAAAGAAATTTAAAAAAAAAAAAAATAAAAAAAAAACAGGGGATAAATAATGATATGACTTAAAACTTGTAATAAAAGCTTAAATGATGACTTGTTTTTATTATACATATGTATATATACATATGTATATATATGTATATATATATGTATATATATATATATATATATATATTCGTTTATATTGGTTTTGTTTATAAAGAAATCTGTGTGAAATTCCAGTAGGACAACTACTGTACAGCGGG